CTTCTCCTTTTCCCAGTCACCCGGGTGCACAGATAAGAGATCCCAAAGAAGGCTGCTTGGGTTGCAAGTGAGTTGCCACATCACATTTTCTTCACAACCTCTCCCAGCACTCAGAGAAGTTTCTGCCACCCAAAGACCACACTAACCTATGATCAACTGACTTACGAGGAAAGATGGAAAGACCCAAACATGGACGCTGGCAAGTGCTGATTCTGGTGGGGAGAGAGCAGGTATAACTGTCAATGTGCATTTCAGATGTATAGGCCCCAAGGAAGGAGCAGAATTGATGGGGGTGTATATAACTAGAAATGATCAGATGAAACCGAGCAAAGGAAAATGTAGGCTAAATATTAGGGAACAGTTAGTGACAATAGCACAATCTACTAGAGAAGAGCTGCAAGATCTAATGCTTGAGTAGACCAGACAAAGCCCAGGAGAAGATACGTCAGGGAATAATCATGTACTGACCAGGGACTTCCTATGTCTAGTTTCTGTGATTTTTATCATGCTGCAACTTCTTCCTGACCTTTAATCCATGCATATGGAGATTGTTGTTGCACCAATGGTTTCTCAATCACCAGACCACGGTGAAGAGTAAATTAAAAGCATTTCCTCAGCAGATTGACTGTTATTGGTCATTTCAGTGTTTCCTGCAGCAGTGAGAAATCTGGGGTTTAAACAGGGTGAGCTGGTTTCTGGGACGGTCAGACTCTTTCTCAGCAGCGTTTGGAATTCGGACCTGCACTCAAGTAGCTCGGGAAGGAGACTTCTTCCCTTCTGTGATGGGAATGTGGTTCACCTCTAATTCAGGATTCCAGCAGAGCCCAGCGTTCTGAGCCTGTAATATCAGCCCATGAAGAACATAAGAACAGCCAGACTGGGTCAGACCAAAGGTCCATCTAGCCCAGTATCCTGTCTTCCGACAGTGGCCAATGCCAGGTGCCCCAGAGGGAATGAACAGAACAGGGAATCATCAAGTGACCCATCCCCTGTCGCCCATTCCCAACTTCTGGCAAACAGAGGCTAGGGATACCATCACTGTCCATCCTGGCTAATAGCCATTAACAGACCTATCCTCCAGGAACTTATCTAGTTCTTCTCAGAACCCTGTTATAGTCTTGGCCTTCACAACATCCTCTGGCAAGGTGTTCTACAGGTTGACTGTGTGTTGTATGAAGAAATGCTTCCTTTTGTTTTAACCCTGCTGCCTATCCATTTCATTGGGTGACCCCTAGTTCTTGTGTTATGAGAAGGAGTAAATAACACTTCCTGATTTAGTATCAGAGGGGTAGCCGTGTTAGTCTGAATCTGTAAAAAGCAACAGAGGGTCCTGTGGCACCTTTAAGACTAACAGAAGTATTGGGAGCATAAGCTTTCGTGGGTAAGAACCTCACTTCTTCCTGAGCTATATTAAAGAGTCCCGCTCTAGCTAGTCCTTTTGAATAACGTGTTCAGTTAGGATCCACACCAATTACCATTGACTTCAGTGGGCTGGGCCCTCAGTTCTTTGATATTAGCCAACAGGTTTTACTGTTGCAATGTGACAGTTCCTGAAGACTGACTCCTCCAGAATAAACTAGTGCAAGCAGAGATTTTCACAGTAAAAGACAAGTAATAATGATAACGCCTTAGAGTTATTTAGCATCTCCCAGCTTGAAGGGCCCCAGAGCTCCTTACAGACCATGGGACAGATTCTGATCTCAATCACACCCGTAAAATGAACGAGGAGTACCTGTGGCACCTTAGAGACAAGACTGATACAGACTAACATGGCTACCACTCTGAAACCAATCACACCAGTGTAACCCAGAGTAACTCCTCTCTAGTCAGCAAAGCAACTCTGTATTTATACCAGAATAGCTGAGTTTGGAGCTGTTCAGAGATCCCTTCACTCACCATCTCTGAGATGGAATGGGTTGGCAGGTAACAGCAGGCAGCCAGCACTACCCAACAGAATAACCCTGGAATAGCTTGCCCATGTCAAGGCGTTTTGGCTTCACCAGTCATTTGCCTGAGTAAGACTCCTCTGAAGAGTCAACAGCAAAGGCTGCAAGTTTGTCACGTCTGGAAACCTGAGGTGTCAGGAGATTTTAAATCCCCCATGTGCTTCCCTGTGAATTTTTAGTGCTAGGTTTTCTCTCTCTCCCCAGGACCGCTCATTCTAAGTGGAATGTGCTCTACCAAAGACCCTTATGGTCAGACTTTTCCCCTCCCAGCCCAAGTAAGCTGCGACAGCAGGTAAGGAATCTTTCGGCTGCTTATCTGATTCCAACTAGAACCCAGTGAAGTCGCGGTTTGACCATTGCTAGCTCTGTCACCTTCCCTGATTGCCTGTGTTTGCTCACCTGTCATCAGAACAGGAAACTTCTGGGATCCTTTCACATCAAGCATTACCATGGCACATGCAAAAGAAATGCAGTGGTGCCAAATATCGCAATTTCATTGCGAGTTTCATGATAGCTGGTGTTTTTCTGAAAACTCCAGCTCCTGGAGTCATGTGATTAGCTGAAAATCCCAGGTGGTTTTTTTTTAGTAAGTTTCTCACCTTCATAGTTGCTGAGAAAAGCTTATAAATGTGAAAACTGAAGAGTTAAAAAACAGAAATCAAATCAAATAATCCCAGGATTTATTACAGTATTTCTAAAATCTCATGATTTTTGAGCCAACCTGTGATTTTGGGGTGGCGGGGGAGGCTGACTCATGACTCTTGAATGCTAGGGTTGGCAATACTGTAAATGGTATATTAATTCCACTATACCTGCTGCTGGTGTTCGAGAACCCAAGGCATCCCATGTTCCTACCATGACCACGAAGGAGCCATCTACGTTGGTTCGCCTTCAGGCTTCGGAGGGTAAAACACTCTGTTCTTACCGTTGGCTGAGAGGAACTTGGCTGGAACACAAGAGGCCGCTTTTCCAGCTCCAGTCATCAAGCACCAGTAATCCCTCTGTGCTGGTGTCAAGTGCAAGGTGAAATCGTGAGTCTGTTGGGGGAGAGAGGTGGTGAATTTGTCAGCGCCCAGTCATGATCTGTCTGAGTGGGAGTGAAGTGAGGACACGTCTCTGTGCTCCATGACGCCAGGCCTCATGGTGTGTCAGCTACTCGCTTCCTCCAAGGGCTGCCCACTTTGGGCCTACTCAGTGTTTCTCCGCCTCAGGCAGTAGGGGTTACCATGAAAGGGATTCTGTTCTTTAACGTTTCTATCCTGGTGGCAGCAAAAGGCTGGAATCAGGTCAGTCCACCTTGCGCCGGGTGCTGTACAAACATAAACTAAACAACAGGCACTGCCTCAGAAAGCTTCCCCTCTCTCCCCGCCCTCTCCACGGCACGCCCAGTCCCTGCTAGCTCAGTATGGCGCGGAGGTAGTTGGAAGATACCAATGCAGTCAGACTGCTATCCTTATACTGCTACAACTTCCTGTGGGGACACTTAGTCAGGGATAAAAGGGCCTTTTTTTTAGCTTAACCTGCCAGAAGAAGAGTATTCACATGGGGAGTTACAGTGACGTAACTACAGCAGTTTAAATTCACATCTTCCCTTTACTGATAGAATTGTCCCGTGTGAGCAGGCCCTGTCATTCCCCCCCGCCCCCCCCACCACACACTCCTTGACTGTGTCACACCTAAGAGCAGTGGGCAACTGACAAGCGGCACAAAGACAGTGAATGGGGGAACAGGGAAGAGCATCTCAAATGGCTTTCAAATGCTCTCCCTGGCCAGCCCGTAGAATTGGGAGCACTCCGGAGAAGCCATGTCCAGCCGTCTTGAGTTGGAACCACACGTGGGCTTGGAGGATGCAGAAATAAGGATGGCATTGTGGTAAGGGCACTGGAATGGGACTCAAGAGATCTGGGTTCACATTCCCAGCCCTTCCAAGACTCCCTGGGTGACCTAGGGCAAGTCAATTAATCATTCTGTGCCTCGGTTTCCCCCTATGGAAAATGGGGGGTAATACTACTTTCTTTTTCCACATATGTCCATTTAGACTGTGAGCTCATGCCGTGCACAGCAGAGTCCTGGTTATTACTGCAATACAACTAATAAGGACTAGTAATCATGCGAAGGATCCAGGAAAATACTCTGGAAAGTTTGTATCTGTTTCTCCTGCAGAACTCCCTGCTAAGGTTTTTGTTCAGTTGTCATGGCTGCTGAAAGCCAGGCGCCTGATGAGGGAACGTTTTAAATGTCTTTAAAAAAAAAACTCAAACCAACAGCAAAATTAACCTGGTCTGTTTATAACTGACCTTTTCCATTCTGCCCGACAGAGTCTGAGCAGATCAATACCATCCAGCTAGGAGCCAACCGCAGCAGGCAAAAAAGTACCACTCACCCCTCCTGCGTGGATGCGTTTGGCTGACAGCTGGAAAAGGAAAGAGCGACATTGAAAATGTGCTGGGCATTATCACATCTTCGTATCTAATGCAAGTAGCTAAATTACTAAGCGGGATAGACAGCAGATTTGCTCCTAGGACTGGGAGTCCATCGAGCCGGGTTCTAATTCTTGGCTCGTCTGGTGACCTTGGCTAAATCACTTCCCCTTGGTGTGCTTCAGTTTCCCAATCTATAAAATGGGGTGAATAATACTGACCTACCTACCGCCGTCACATGGGGAGGGGGAAGCTTAATGTTTGGAGATCCTTGGATGGAAGAGGACAGGGTTATTTTTATTAGATACAAATAATAAACACCCCTTACTTATTTATACTGCATGCAGGGAATGTCTAATCTGCCCAATTATATGCAGAGAAGGTGTGCTGGGCTGGACTGCTACAAGGCTGTTACTGCCCTGAGTCTGAGAGGACCACCTCACCCACGAGAGGGTGTTAAGAAAACAAGGGCACTGCACAATCGTCTTGTCAATAAAAAGATAGAGCTGGTTCTCGAAGTGACCTGGGCCTAAGTCACTTGGGCATTTTGAATGTTTTCCCCTAGTCCCTTACCCACGGCTATGCCCCCATGTGGGTGGTCACTGAGCATTCCTGGGCATGTATTTCACAAGGTCATGTCTATTCTGCCTCTAGACCGTGTGTCCTCTGTATTTACAAAGTCTTCCCAAACAGGTGGCTGTCTTCCTCCTCCCTGGACATGCTACAGCTTGAATCGGCGACTTTGATCATAAGAAAAACATCCACGCAAAGCCCTTGAAGTAGCAGCAACGCTGTGTTAGCCCCAACCAGCCAGTCTGCGGTGCACAATGCAGCCCCAGACACGACAGCCACTGAGGTGTGTGGGAGGGTGAGGGGGGCCGGCCAACAAGTTCGAACAAAATTAAGAACTGACCATAAGCCTCAAACTAAACTCCACCTGATCCCCAAACCCTGAACCTTGTCTGAGATTTGACGAACATTTCATTAGGCTTAAATAACTCTTTGTTTTCATTTCTGCTGATGCTTCTGCACGGCCTTGTTCCAGACAAGCCCTGAAGTGGAAATACCATGATACCAGCATCAGACCTGTTGTCGCTGCGTTTCCAGGCCTGTGGGGAGTGATGGAATCTCACGAGAGAACCTCTCATAAGAGTTCCCAGCCAGCCTTGCAGATCCAAGTGGGGCAGATATTTTTGGAGAAGCAGTTGAACTTCTGGACGCTCACCCGAATTGGACAAACTAAACCTTGCAGGTTCTCCTGCCGTGAGTGAAAGCCCCGGGTCGGAGCTATCTCCATCCACCTCACTGGAATGCAGTGATGTCCCACTGGTACAAAGAAAGGACCATACTGGCGGGCGCAGAATGCATAGTCCTCCTGCAGTGCCTGATACCCAATACAATGACAGGGCCCAAACAGTGGCTAATGATTTAGTGGAAGAGTAAAAACCTTCCCTAGCACCCAGTTGCTTTGTGCTTTACATGGGTGGGTGGGGGTGAGCTTCTTGACCTCTCAGGGTCCTACTATGATGTTAGTGCATGAAAGCCAAGCTACCGTGTTTATTTTTAGCTAGTTGCCTTCACAAAGTCCTGGCTGATGAGATTTTACAGCACAGGTTGGCTCCTCCAGCCCAGCCACAATTGCTGAGGAATCAATCATTACCATCAGGTAACTGTTAGATGGTTAACAGCCTGAACTGAAGCCAAACTGGTTGTTAATTGCGATAACAACTGATTTCAAGGGGTTGTTTCCCTGCAACCAACACGCTCAGCAATTTACTTTGACTTGATATTAGCAGGCAATAAGGAAAATCAAGAGAAGTTCACAAGCCATTAGCAAAGGGCCATCTCTCCCGGCTGGACATCAGTTTCTCATTCTGCAGAATGTGGACTGCAGCCAGCTGGCTGGGCCACATAGCACACCAGTGAATCTGGATCTCTAGGTCACACCTTATGTATTGCACAGAACCATCCACGACCAGGCAGTAGAGATGGTCTTATCCAGCTAACGGGGTCAGCCAGACTCCTTTGGCCAAATATCGCCTTGTGTAATTCCACAGAGCTCACCAGGGACGAATGTGGCCCAGTGCGTGAACACATCCTGCAAGTCACCACAGCCAAGACTCAAGGGTCCCATAGGCAGAGGTCCTGCCAGAGGAGCCAAAGAGGGTCTTTCCCCTCACCAAGCTGGAGAATCTGTGCTGAGTTGCTCTTTGGCAGACCTTGCTCTTTGCAGAACTCCCGGATGGCCTCAGAGTTGCAGTGATCTGTGGCTACCACAGATCTCTTGGGCCCTGGTGGGTATCACTCCTGATCAGTCCAGCACATGCCGAAGGCACTCACAAAACAACCCTCCCGCTTCCCAGGGACGGAGACGATTCCATGGCTGTAAAGCCTTTGAGTTTTGTTTCTAAGGAGCTGTCTAATTGCAGCTCTGCACTGGTTCTGTTAACCCGCAGCAAAACCTTTCTGGGCACACGCTGCTTTCAGCTGCAGAGCAGCGTCGGCCTGCTCTGCATACAAAACCGCCCCACTTTAACCAACGGGGTGATTTTCAACTGGTGCGACTTCATGCATGGACTCTCGTCAGTTCCTGGAAACCTGGCTGATATCAGGTTAGCACATGCACCTAGCACACGGCGATAGCTGCCATCCCATAGTATCTGAGCAACTGAAGCTACTCCCATTTTACAGACGGGGAACTAAGACACAAAGAGACTAAATGATTTGCCCCAGGTCACACAGGGAAGCCGTGGTGTTGTGCTGAGTTGAGTCCCATGATAACACCCTAACCACTGGACCATCCTTCCTTCTCCACCTGTCACGAGCTGATCCAATCTGAGTCACCAGGCGTGTGTCAATCCGGGGGTGCAACAGTTTAACTAGATCAGCTTTTAAAGAGGCTTGGAAAGATTCCGTTTTTATGCATGAATGTTATTAAACGTTGATTTCACTCTCTCACCCACCGACCAAAAATATTTCCAGTGCTAATCATCCAAACGTACAGGGAGGCACAGTAAGAACAATGCTGCTTCGGGAGGCATTGGAACTTGATTTAAGGCTAGTCACGTTGTACGTTTTGCCACGTGATGTTGACAGTTTGTGGTTGAACGGTTATGAAGCTTTCGCTTTTTGGATCTCAGTGGCTACTGTCGTTAATTATCATCGCCCCCCCCCCCAATCGCCTGGCACCCCTTCTCATGTCCCGCCACAGTGGAAAGTTACATACAGAGCCATGGTTTTAAAATGTTCGAAAATAAACCTCAATATTATCCACCAAAATTATTTAAAAATAAAATCAAACTCTGCCAAGCCTAGTTTTAAATTAAACCAGCACAACTTGTGTGGGTAGGACCAGGCCTTCTTCAACCGCTTCCTAACCAGCTTGAGTTAAAGCAATGCTGCCTGGCTGGAGTGGAAAACAGCGCTCCCGCACAGCCTGTTGTACCAGTTTAACTAAATCAATGTAAAAGCCCCCTTCAGTTACGTCAGCTCAGCCCGCGTGTTGACAAGCCTTAAAACTCAGGGTCATGGGGGCTCCCAGCTGAATTGGTTATAGGTTTTAATTAGAAAAAAGCCTTCTCATGACAAAGATTTAGGCTGCACCCTGAAAAGCGGATGTAGAAATGGCAGGATGGCATCTCGGCTTGCCGTCTCTCGGGGTCTTTCGGCTCAAACATGTTTTACAGGAAAAATATGTGGTGTTTCCTAACTGCCACCCCTGGACCCTGAGTTATGATCCTTGTGAGTGCTGCTACTGAATGGCTATGAAATGTACATCCAGCTAGTCTGTGCTACCACACCCTATCAGCCTGCTTTCTATCCTTCAGCCACTTCTTCCGGCTGGTCTTTTACAAAGCAAGCTCTTCTGGGAGAGAGGGGCAAAAATCATAGCGATGGTATCATTCCATTACTAGCTGGAAATGGTAGAATTGTCAATAATAAAGCAGAAAAGTCAGACGTGTTCAATAAACATTTCTGTTCTATGTTTGGCAAAAAGTCCGATGATGTAGGCATGGTTTATGACGACGGTGAAACTCTTTTAATTTCAACAGTAACTCAGGAGGATGTTAAACATCAGCTACTGAGGTCAGACTTTTTAAATCAGCAAGTCCAGAAAATTTGCATCCAAGAGTTTTAAAAGACCCGGCCAAGGAGCTCTCTGGACCAATAATTTTGATTTTTCATGAAGTCTTGAAACACTGAGGAAGTTCCAGAGGACTGGAAGAAACCAAATGTTGTGCCAACATTTAAGAAGAGTAAACGGAATGACCTGGGTAATTATTGACCTGTCAGCCTGACTTCGATCCTAGGCAAAATAATGGAACAGCTGATACAGAACTTGATTAATAAATAATTAAATCAGGGTAATATAATTTCATAAACATGGATTTATTGAAACTAGAAGTCATCAAACTACAAATATATATTTTGATGTGATTACAAGTTTGATAAAGGTAAGTGGATTGATGTAACGTACTTAGACATTTGTAAGGCATTCACCGAGGTACCGTGTGACAGTTTGATTAAGAAACTAGCATTATACAAATATGACATGGCACATGTTAAATGGGTTAAAAACTGGCTAACTGACAAGTTTTCCCATGTAATCATAAGCAGGGAACCATCATCCTCCCTGGCTTTATAATCTCGGGCTACTCCCCAGCGCAGCGCCAAGGGGTGTCTGTCTGCACTGCCGTGTTCGCTCGGGCTCTTCCTCAGGTGTTGCCAGGGTTACCACATGGCCAGTTTTTCTACTACCTTCCCCATTGTGAGTTGCCAGTGAAAATGTGCCAGGGTGTCTTCCCCTGGCAAGCTGCCGTCCCACAATCTTGTAAGTCCCGGCTGCAGGTCCCACGGCTGGGAGCGCCGCCAGCGTGGTGCTCAGGTCCTGCTCTGCGGGCCAGGCCCTCAAAGTGCCAAGACGGTGGCAGCCCGAGACCCGCCAGCAGGGAGGGGACCAGGGTGGTTGAGGCAGGGGCCTCCTGGGTGGGGTGAGTCTGGAGGTTCATGGGCCGGGGGGCAGGCAGGATGGGAGGGGGGTGGCACCTGAGAAGGGTCAGGCAGTGAGGGCAGGGGACAGTGACCGTTTTTCTGCATCCTCATCCCACACAAACCCTCTCACCTGAATTTGGTACTTTCACCCCGGGCTAGCTGGCCTGGCTGGGGATGGCTTAGAGTCTGGATTTCACTTTCCCTCGGGCTGGTAACCCTCCTGCTTTGCAGTGCAGACACAGGCAAAAATTGTACAAGTGCTACTAGTCCTCCAAGGCCTTCCCACCCTCCCCCTATGCCCGGGACCGACAAGTGCTCCCACAATTCACTGGGGACGAATCAGAGAGCGGCTCAGCTCACTGCAGCACCAGACCCTGGGGTGTGCCCCACGAGTGCGAGCGACACGCCCGGGAGCGCGGCTCCGGTGAGGACGCAGTCCCTCGGACAGGGCTGGGCCGTGGGCTGCTCGCGCCCAGATAGGTTAACCCGGGGCTTAGACCTGGGTGCTGATCACTGGAGTTAACTCCACAGGGACGACATCCCCTGCGGACTCTGGGTCCCAGCACATGACACCAGGCTCGGGGTAGAGCTGCATCTCCACAGGTTACCCCGGTGCCTGGGAGATGGGGGCAGCTGCTGAAGAACCATGAGGTCAAAGACGATGCAGAGGCTCCCCCGTGTTCCCCAGAACAGGCCCTCTCCCACCCCTAGTTTAAGTGTATTTGGGGAGGGATCCCCCTTAGATCTGGTGACCTATTGCTCCCCCTCCCCTTCACCCCCCAGGGGGAGTGCAGGCTGTGTGTATCTGGGAGAGGTGCAAGATGGATATTGTAAGTGAGATGCAGGGTCATTAATTAGCTGCGAGTAGGTGTTTTGAATATGCAAAGTGCTACAGAAGTGCTAAGTGTTATTATTATGGCCAGGAAAGTGGCTGTGAAAATGCCAGTTTATTCCACATCCCTGCACCCCGTGCCTTCCGCTGGCCCCTGCGACGGGTCACCAGGGCTGGGCAAACCCCGGCAGCCTCAGCGCAAAGCCAGCCAGTTCGGAAATTCACCTCCGGCTTGAATATCGTAGGGGGCAGGCTGGACTGCGGGGCGGGGGCTGTGGGGCTGTGAATAAAGGACGGTGGGGACAGGGGGGGGAAAAGAAATGTGATGGAGGAAAGAGAAAAAATGAAGCCGAGAGATGAACAAACCCATAAGGGAGAGAAAGGGTCCAGTGGAGAATTAGATACAGACTGTACAGGGCCCAGCACTCCAAGAACTGGTAATGGGGGGGTCAGTTAATCTGGAACCAGGGAACAGGCTGCCTTCCCTTCCCCACTTAAACACTGTGGGTCTCTCTCTCTCACACACACACACACAAGAATCACTCACGAAAAAAATCACGTTTCAAAGTTTGCTGACAACACTACATGACCTAAGCCAGTTACATCCAAAGCAGCCTGCGAAGGTCTAGGCTGTGTCTACATTGGCACTTCCTGCGGGGTAACTGATGTCGCGCAGGGGTGTGAAGAAGCCCCCTCCTGAGCGATGTCAATCACACCGAGCTCAGCGCCGGTGTGGACGGCGCCGTCCCGCCGACAGAGCTATTGCCGCTGGCAGCTCTGGGCAGATGACATTCCAGGTTGATACGTGCAGAGAATCGCACACCGGAGAATGTAATCCCAACGCTACGGACCAAGTGCTGGGGTCTAACTGAGCTGTTCCCGGCCATCGTGGAGAGTCCTGCCAAAGCCCAGAGCGCCCCCCTTGTGGGCGCCACTCTCCCTCCCCCAGCCCCGGAGCACAGGCCAGCCCCCATTAGTCCCAGAAGAGCCCCCCACAGCATAGCACCAGGAAGCAGGAAGGGGCCTGGGGCGGAGCGTGGACGGGGCCATGCAAGGTCGTTGGGGAGTCTCAGCCTTCCCCAGCCTTCGATACCGGCCGCCCACGCCACTATCGAAATCCACGCTACGTCCACACCTTGAGTAGTGGGTGTAGTTCTGGTCACCCCATCTCAAAACAGATACCCTGGAATTGGAAAAGGTACCGAGAAGGGCAACAAAAAGGATGAGGGGTGTGGAACGACTGCCATCTGAGGGGAGATTGGAAAGACTGGGACTGTTCTGCTTGGCAAAGAGACGACTAATGGGGGATATGACAGAGGTCTATAAAATCATGACGGGTGTGGAGAAAGTGAATAGGGAAGTGTTATTTACTCCTTCTCATAACACAAGAAGCAGAGATCACCCAATGACATTAATAGGCAGGAGGTTTAAAACAAACACAAGGAAGACCTTCTTCACACAAAACACACAGTTAACCTGTGGAACTCATTGCCAGGGAATGTTGTGAAGGCCAAAAATATAACTGGGTTCAAAAACAAACAAAATAAGTTGATGGAGGACAGGTCCATCAATGACTCTTAGCCAAGATGGTGAGGGCCACAACCCCATGCTCTGAGTGTCCCTAACTAAGCCTCTGTTTGCCAGAAGCTGGGAATGGGCGACAGGGGATGATTCCCTGATGATTCCCTGTTCTGTTCATTCCCTCTGGGGCACCTGGCATTGGCCACTGTCGGCAGACAGGACACTGGGCTAGATGGACCTTTGGTCTGACCCAGTCTGGCCGCTCTTATGTTCTTAATTACAGGGAACAAGAAACATTTCACAAACTCAGACTCATTTGTGAGCCCCTCCTGAAAATAGCTTCATGAGGTTCCCTGAATCCCAGACCTCTCCCCAGATTTACTCCCACCAGCCCCGTCGGAGCGGGAACCGCCCTGGGAGGGTGAGCTGGGTTCTCTTCGGACACGCGGGTCACCCGTCGGCGTGCTTGTCAAGGCGGCTCAGACTGCAGGATCTCCGGGACCTGCAGGGGTGTCAGAGGCACAAAGCAGCCAGCTGGGGTGTCAGAACCCGCACCCGGGGGGAATGTGTTGCCCCTGCAGGTTGAGTTTGGGAGTTTGATCCTGCTGCGCGCTGAGCGCCTCCAGCCCCTGCTGCCTTGCAAACCAGGCCAGTTTGATCTAGAATAACAGAGAGCGAATCAATATGGGACACCCCTGCTGAGATGTTCTGAGTCCCTTTTCTGGCTATAAACCCCCTTTAAAAGGAGGGGGGGTAGAAAGTGCAGCGGGTGCGATCAGCAAACCCCGGAGAGGAATTGCTCTCCAACAAACGAAATGTGTGTAATTAATGGGCTAGGGGGCTGGACAGGTCTTAGATGAAAGCGTTTCCTGGACTTGTCCTTCATTTGCATGGCATCAGAAGCTGTTCAGAAGGTGTGACTTTTCCCACAGGGAGCCCTCAGCGGCTTGGCACAATAAAGCCAGGAGTTCTTAACCCGAATTAATTAAAGGAGGGGGAGGGGGAATGGCAAGAGAGATGCTTGAAAGCTGAGCCCGATGCAATAAACAAAATGCTCCGGCCTCTCCGTCCTGAGCCGAGATGGCCCAGCCAGGCCCCCATCTTCGGGGTGCAGGGCCGTGGAGCCAGGCCCCCGTCTTCGGGGTGCAGGGCCATGGAGCCAGGCCCCCGTCTTCGGGGTGCAGGGCCGTGGAGCCAGCCCCGTTCGCCGGGGGCCGTGGCCGAAGCACAAGCATTTTCCGAGTCAGCTGCTTGGCAGAGACCAGCGAGAAGTTGGGTAACAATCCGAGACAGGCCTCAAGCTGCAGCGCTGGGACTGGGTCCCAACGTCCCCCCGAGACTGGGGCCAGTCACCAAGTCTGGGTCCCAAGCTCTGGGGAGTTCAGAAAGGAGACTCTGCCATGGGCTCATGAAACCCTGGAGAAAACGGGCGCAACGGCCCACTGAAGATACAGGGCGTGGCAGCCACTCAGGCCAGGGCCGGCTAAGGAGAAGAGCCATTCGGGGTGAAAGCTACGTGCTCTCCTGGGGATCAGGGACATGGTGGGACTCCAAGCAGGCCTTTGTCACATGGGAGCTTTGCAGCCAAGTTTTCAGGTGTAGAATACACTAAGGGTGAATGATGACAGCCCTGCGCGCAGGGAGCACCTTGCAAACAGCCATTAATTAGGCCTCACAAACGACATCTGCATGTGGCATGACCACAGCATGGAGCCAAGCAGGAGGATTTCTCAGGGGGGTCTCAGCATCCAGCCAGGACCCATCGGGTGCGGCTCGCCCAGGGACGGCTCCCTTCGCTGAGTGGCTACAAGCTCCCGGGTGCACACGTTGCTGGAGTGTCCATGGGTGGGACACCTGCTTAAACCAGGGGTGAATTTGTCTGGTGAAGTCTGATTGGCCGGCTCAGTGAAATGCCATCACTCACCCGGCTCATCCTATCTAGCTCGGTTCCGATGTAGCCCTGTCACCGTAGTATCGG